CTGTGCCGGGTTCAGGGCCTCACGGTGCCCCTGTTCCTGTCATTACCCACTGTGCCGGGTTCAGGGCCTTGCGGCGCCTCTGTTCCTGTCATTACTCACTGTGCCAGGTTCAGGGCCTCACGGTGCCTCTGTTCCTGTCATTACCCACTGTGCCAGGTTCAGGGCCTTGTGGTGCCTCTGTTCCTGTCATTACCCACTGTGCCGGGTTCAGGGCCTCACGGTGCCTCTGTTCCTGTCATTACCCACTGTGCTGGGTTCAGGGCCTTGCGGTGCCTCTGTTCCTGTCATTACCCACTGTGCCGGGTTCAGGGCCTCACGGTGCCTCTGTTACTGTCATTACTCACTGTGACATGCCGGGTTCAGGGCCTCGCGGCGTCTCTGTGTCTCCTCTGTGTTGGGTATGGTGACCTTTATGCAGTTGGGGCTGGTATAACTTCTCTGGGGCCCCGACGTCCAGATAGGGTGCTGGCGGTCCTCCTAATAGGACTGGGAGGGAAAGCGGGTTTGAGTTTAAAACTTATCTGGAATATTTCTCTATAGACCCGGATACATCATCAAGCGATAATACCAGGTGGGTATACCCGAGAGTAGGTTCGTGTTTAAACCTTAACTATGACACTGCGGTAAAGTGAGCTGCCTTGTCTTAATAGAACAGTTGTCTTGTTTGGCCATTCACCGCCAGTGATTGTAGAGTGCCATTATTAATAAATATGTATAAATCACACATGAAAGTTAAATGGTGTCCATTGTCTTCCATAGTTTGTGTAAAGTGTATTTAACTGGATATGTCTGTTTCGTTTAGGGTTATACTTCCAATAATTCTAATTCACAATACATTAGCTATTAGTAACAAAACTATTGTGAAGAATTGCAAAAGTATTGCATGGGAATACAAAACTATTAAAAAATAAAAAAAAAAAATTCCCATGCCGACCCCTCAGGGCTTTTAATAAAATACAGAAAAGAATGATTCTGTGTTGTATTTTTCATTTTTTTGGGGGGGGGTCACAGATATTGAAAAATATCGGCTCTAATTGCGTAACATTTGAAATTCGTTTGTACTTGATTTTTGAAAGAGTGACAGCCCAAGTCTAGGCGTTCACACAATTTGCAATCTGGCTACTTGCCGTTGAAATCATTAAAACCTTAATGTTTTGCAATTTTAGGTTTGGCCCTTTTTTTGCCCAGCTATGTATGTCAGTCTCAGTTTGCTCCCCCCACTCTCCGCCCACCTCCCGCTCACAAACCCCCTTCACCTTCATCTGACTTCAGCCCAGTACAGCAGCAGGGTCTGTAAGGCAGAGGAGCCCCCTCTTTGCTACCCCCCCCCGGTGTCCCGGCTTTGCATAGCAGACTATTGTGCTTGTTGGTATTGTGACTCAGGTCAGGTCTTAAGGATACGAGAACATGCAGCAGATGACATGTGAACCAGTCAGAGGAACATCACTGACCATCCTCATCAGGATCCATTGGATTTTCTCCATTCTTCTTAGTGAGTACAGTACCCTTTAAGGTCATTGGTAATTTAGTCTGTGATCATGACTTTAATCACAGATGTTTCTCATTATAGCTAAGAATTATACTACAAATACATATACATATACATACTAAGGACTATATTAATGCCAGGAGTTGACAATGACTAGATGACATATAATCGTAATAATCTTAATGACCATGAAAGATGACTATACTAAATACCGTTCTAAGTTTGATATGCAGGACCACCATGCTAAATACCATACTATGGAACAGAGATGGATACTAAGGATCGTCCCAATGACTATACTAAGTACCATATTAAGGACCAGCCTTTTAACTATATTAAATTAAGTAGTATGATGACTATACGAAGTACCATACTATAAGGACCATTCTGTTGACTATACTAATTACTGTGATGACCATACTAAGGATTCCATGGCAGCTGCCGAATGCTGCATGATGTTTCTGTAATGTATGTGTTGTGTGATGTAATTTTCATGCTGCACTTCCACCAGCTGCTCTTTGGACACCTTGGACCATCGGCTCACAGACAGGCCGGTTCCCGAAGCCCATCATGGAGGTGGAGCCAAGGATTGTGTCCTGGACCCAGGCGGCCACTCTGCGCTGTTCTGCTCAGAAAGGGGATCGATGTCACTTCTACACCAACGAGAGTCATGTGCCCTTTAAGACGGTTCAGTTCAAGAGTATGTCTGGGATCTGTCAGGCTCAGGTGATGTGGAATGATGTGACCATGAGTTCTCATAACGTGGTCCTTGTCAGCTGTGCTGTGGAGGTGAACGTGGAAGGTGCAATTCAATTCTCCCCCCGTAGTGATGGTCAGATCTTCCAGGTCATTGGTGAGTAGTCAGTATTGACCCTCCTGTTAGATGCTGTTAGACACAATTTACTTAAAGCACCCATGTATAATGCTTTTAAGATGCCTTTATAATGCGTTATACTGCATTCATAAAGTATTATAGACAGGGCTATAACTATTTATAAAAAGGCATAACATTATAGCCATGTTTATTGTGCATCATGAATGCTCTATGAAGCTCTCATCTATAACGCACTATAGATAACTTCATAATGCATTATAGTAGTCAGCATAAGCAATTATAATGCATTATGAAGGTATTTATAGTGCATTATAGATGAGAGGTTCATAGTGCATTCATAATGCATAATAAACATGTCTATAATGTGATTAATGAGCTCCCCTGGATGCTCAGTCCCGACGAGCTTGACCTGCAGTTGTTGACATCCAAATTTTGAACATAAATGATCTCCTCTGACCATGCAGACCTGACAAGCGGACTCCGTGTGGATTCAGATGTGCGGAATGTAATGCTGGAAGATGTGGCCAGGCTTCGCTGCACAGCCAAGCAAGGGTCACGCTGCCGGTTCATCGCCGGCGTAGGGGAGGCTGTCCTGGACACAGTGTCATTCAGACACGGTGTCTGTCAGCTGTCTGTGCCCGGCCGGGAGCTACAGCGGCACAGCCAGGGCGGGACGGGTCCGGTGCCGGTCCGTTGTGTGGTGGAGATGGAGCTGCAGGATGGTGCTCTTCTCACCTCTAAGCCGAGTGTGTCCATCACCATCGAGGTGCACGGTGAGGGCTTTTCGGTGCATTAACGCTGAGTTTGACACGGCAGGTTACTCTAATACTAACATTTCAGGTTACCAAGTTCAGTGATCCAGCTGCCTTTGCAAATGTAGGGAGGTTTGGGGGTCAGATAGGTGTTCATCTAGTTATCCAACCAAATATCAGTAACTTTCTGGAGAACAGAAGAATTTTGTTTATTTTTGTTGTGTTCCTGTTCATTTGCATACATCATAATGATAATTAGGTTTTTTTCCTAAGCAAATATAGACTCACTCCCCAGATAAACAGGCATTTTCTTTGACTGCCTAATACTTATGCACAGCACTGCCTCTTACAATATCCCTATGTCAGGATCTTCATCAAACTGTACTTTATATTTTACTGCAGGCTTTGAAGAGTATACAACTCAGTTCACAGCAAGTAAGTTTCCTTTTGATTTGAATTTAACTTTGCGAAATTTCTGCAGGTCACTTGCTCTTTATTTGTTTGGAAGAAGTATGTAAATGTAAAATGTTAATAAAGAACAGGGTCTTAACTTACTGTCATGCAGCTGAATGAAGATCGGATCACATATTTGGGCCCATTTATGTTGAAATCCAGATCATTCCAAAGGCGTCACTAACTCTTTCTTGCATCTGTAAGCTGGGAATGGTGCATTCTATGAAATATTAATTCGGCTGAATTGATCTTTGAACTGAGCCCTAATTGAATTTTTTTGCAGGCTTGACAAATGATGCAACTGAAGGCAGCACTTGTGAGCATTTCTCTGAAGTGAACTAACATTTTACTATTTAAGTTATTCAGTTATTTATAAAACTGTATGTATCACATTGTTTAACTTGATACAATGCAACATGTGATTCTGGTAATAATGTTTATTCTAAACTGTCATATTTGCATTTTGTCCAGTTTCCAGTTCAGCGGGCTTCACAGCACCAGGTACTGCTCTGCTTCCCTGAGTCTCTGTGTGTGAAGCTGCCACAGCGACAGGCTTCAGTTACTCAGCTGACAGGTTGGGTCTTTGTTAATAGCTGGATGGTTATTTCCAGCATTAACTGTGGATTCTCCGAATGGCGTCCACATGCTGCTCTGGTCAGTGATTGGGGGTCTCTCTGCACTATTGCTGATGGGAGTCCTGACTACGCTCCTCCTCACGCTCAGTGAGTTCCCAGCTCCTTCTATATTACTGAACCAGGCATGTACAGTATTTCAGGGATTTTTTGGTCTCTGTTCTAACCCCAGTGAGTAACGCTTCATCATCGTTGCTCTTGCTCTGAAAGTTGATGTGAAATTACTTTCCAAAGCTCAATATAAGACGGCAGGTCCAATCCTTTGTTTATTTTTATAAGCCTGGTGTAGTAAGTGCTCTCTGGAGTCCTTCTTTAGGCAAAAATGCTCCATGTGATTCCATGAGGGAATCAGTGCAGAGTAAAGCAGAAACACAGTGTTGTGATGTTTATTCGTACAGCTGCTGAAGTGGTTCTATGCTGAGACACGATGGTAATTTTATTGATTTTTTTCAGAGCAAAACTTCAGCTGCTGTAAAAGGTAAAGGGTCCCGCCGAGGTTATTTTGTGTCACTGTTGTTGTTTCCTGAACTTGTTCATTGTATTGAGAGACAAACCTTGAATTTTGTCTGGTTAGGGATCCACAGCAAGTCCCTGATACAGCAGAGGCCTCTGCAGCCGGTACATCTCGGTTCATTCTTTGATGCTTCTTAACATTTGATGTTTTATGGCAGTTACTCTTAGCAATATAACAGAACATGTCATTTTTTCTTTTCCAGATTCTAATTTGACTGGAACTGACCTGCAAAATTACTGGGTAATTGTAAAAAAGTATTTATGAATGTGTATGCAAAGTGACTGTATGGGAACCTGCATCCATACCCAGAAGGATTGTGGTGTAGGAATCATCAGAATCATCTCTGCTGCGCTGCCTCACCTGTTTCCAGGCCAGTTGTCTTGTGGTCCTCTAGTCCAGGGCTGTGAATTCTTCTCTTTCAGGGTTCATCTCCACAGCTGGTGCAGGACCTAGAAAGTGATGCTTGCTATGCCTCAGTACTGCATCCTAATAGCTCACATCTCCCAACTTCTGAACATGTCCACACAAGAGCCATGGCGACACAAGATATCACAGTATGTTTGTATGCCACCATGAAGAAACCAACCCAGAGTACACCTGTATACAGCACTGTGAAGAATCAAGGCAGAATGAAGAGCACAGCAGGATGTCAGAGAACCTCGACAGCAGAGGTGTAATGTGATTGTTATAGTGACATTTTGTGTACAGGTCTTCCCCTATATGGACACACAGCAGCTCATTTTTAGCCCATTTTCGCTTTAAATTGTATTTTAACTTTATTAAATATTAAAATTCAGTTAAATCTCCTGGTTTCTCTCGTATTCTTTCCAAGCCAAAATCATTGCACTC